CTAAGCGGCAAATTTGAGTCACCAAGGCTGACCTCTATTAGACTTCACCTAATAATCCTTAAATTTGACTAAATCGGTCGACCTTAACAAGCCATTTAAAAGTGATAATGAGCTAGTGGCAAATACATTTTATGGGAGGTCACTGCCAAGTGCCAAAGGGAGCACAGGACTAAGCACAAAGGAGCTCTCCTGACTATATATAATAAATAGCCAGTAGAGGCAGAAGCCGATCAAGTGACGCGTTTCTCAATCCCAGTTGAAGCATGTTTCATGAAGGCCTTTGGAAAAGAAAATAAGTATCTCATACTTTAAATTAGAGAGGCTGGAGTCAGCAAAGGGCTGTTAAGTGAGGATTAAGCTGGTCAGGGCAGTGCTCTAGTGCAGTGTCCTCTTCAAGCAGCGCTCTGCATGGATAGCAGCTGGAGAAGGCTGGAATTATTGAGGCTGGGCAGAAACATGTTTCAGTGACGCCTAGGCAAGAGCCATCACCAAGCACATGGCTGGGAAAAGAAATATCATAATCTCACGGGCATAGGTGGAAGATGAACATGAGGAGACAGACAGGTCTGAGCTGGAGAAGAATCTCTTAAAGGCAAGTGACCAGGGAAGGAAGTAGCTGGGAAAGGCCAGGAGTGGGGGAGACCAGCACTGTCAATCCAGGGTAGTTTTGTGGCATTACTAAATGTACTCGCTTTTAACAGAATCGACCAAAAAGCTCCTGCTCCCAAGCCAGAATTCTTTCTTTCATTCATGCACACAGACACACATATTTTCACTTCCTCTCAAGATGACTGGGTGAGGTAAAGCTTCAAATTTCAACCATTTTGTTCTGTGATGTCTTGACAGGAAACTCACAAGCGGTTCTGTTACTGCTGTGCCACACACCATCATACACAGCACACTCCACTAAGTGTTAGCAAATAAGCACTTCAGAGAGGCACTGCTGTTCAGGATGTATTTCAGGTACAATTGCAAATTTTCTCTTCCCAGGGGCTTCCTCCCAAAATAAACTCTAACTTTCAGTTGATTACATGGATTAAAATGGAGCATCATTTTCATAAAAGACTGACAATTCTATGAAAGATATATTGGCTCCCTGAAAAATTACTGAGAAATGTTCCTCTTCAGTACAAAAGAGGAGTCAAACTCATCCACTGAAGTTATTCTGATACAAACTAAGCGCATAGTTAAAAGCTCTTCCACTAAACATTACGTATAATACAGAGCCAACATCTGACAGCAAGACTTATGCTTCCTCATGAAGAGTTCATCTGGTGGGATATTGTCCCTCCAACTCGCTAACATAATTAATACTTCCTCTGTTATGCGCAGCAATACTTCTCACTTGGATTATTTTTTAAACTACATTTGTGAGTTTACAGTTTCAAGGGCACCATACTCAGATCATGAATGTGCATAGTTTCTCCTTCCTTCGTTAGCAGCCTGGCCATGCCTATGGGTTATACAGTCTGTTAGGATATAGGGACAGCAGTGCCCACAACATTTGTCAGTTCCTGCATTCCAGCGAGACAATATATCCGTAGGCACTGTTACCACCATTTCCACCAAGGTACAAGCCTGAACATTTATAACATCATTTATATATCGCATGGATACAGCCACTTGTCTTTGTCAGAGAAGCTGGTTGTTTCATCTATTATAACTGAACAGCCTCCTCAAAAGTGTTCTCAGGAATATTTCCCACGCTTTTACGAGCCATGAAGCCCATTAGCTCATTTAAAATAACGAGAAGTATCAATGTGCCTTGAATCATTTTAGCTGTGGGATAGTACTTTGCCTGCAGACAGAACAACCAAATATAGCTGCAGCCAGCCTTTCCACTTAAGCATGTGCAATATAATGGTTTGTAGCACAAAGTTTTGCAGGGATAATATACACTCTTGTTGTTTCTTATCAGGCTCATCTTATTTTCTGTCTTAAGAACTCCAAGAAGTGAGCACACCACCAAGGTCCTCCGAGGTCTTTCAAAGAACTTGAAGCGCTTTGTGGTGGCCTAGAGAAGCTCAGTGCCCCTCACATTTGTCTTACATTCCCAATTAGTAAATGGAGCCTGGCACAAAAGACCTTCTTGTAGATTTAATCAAAAATAGCTAAAAGCTGCACGAAAGCAGAAACAACACGCACTGTCCCCAGTTCCAGAATAATCCAGCCATGGTGGCTTAAATCATCAGAGAATGAGAAGGAATTTATTTAAAGTACATATTCAGAAAAAAAGAAAGTCAGTACAATTTTGAAGTCATTTCTAAGACAAGAAACAGAAGTGCCCACTGGCGAAAGGCTCCTCTGACCCACGTTGGTGGCTGGTACCCAAGGGAAGAGGAGTGATCTTCAGACATCTAAGGCCAACACATGGTCATGCCTGAAAGGAAGAAATTGTGAGTTAAGAAAAGTACCCGTTATATAATAACCTGGAAAAGAAAACAAAACAAAACGAAATGCAATTACTACTACTGTGGGGCTTGTGCTCATGTAGAACTTCTTCTCAGATCTTTGATATCATGGTTTTCCCTGCATTCTCACCTCTCAGCGCCTCTTTAAAACATGAGCTACACCCGTCTTTTACCTCACCAGGGCAATCCCAATGTCAGACCAGGAACTTTGTGCCAGCGTAGCCCGACCTGCTCCAGGGCTGGGCTGTCCTGCCCTGGCTGGAGGATCAGCAAATCCTGTATGTGCTTGAGACAGAGAAGGAAATCAATGCAAGGGAAGCTGTGACTGTGATTCTGCAACTGAGGCACATCACTAATTTCTGTTGATCTTGAAGATGCTCCAAAAAGAGCTATTCATGAGGTTATCCTCTAAATTAAAATTGTTCTGTTGTGCTGCAGAGTAAAATCTGTGACACTGCCATCTGCCCTAATGACCACGACAGTTCACTGTCCCACTGAAAAAGGTGATAAATCAGCAATTGTGGTAATACAAAATACAAACATTAGTTTGTTTTTAATGTATTTTAATTGGAACAGTAATGATCCACAAATTAATTAAGTGAATAAACACAGTTCTTTGAAGCCCTAAATTAAAATATTTAATTGAAAAGATGGTCTTCCTCATTTATGGAAGAAATGTTAAAACAGGAGGAAAAACAGCTTTTGCATTTTTTTAATGCGACTATTCTAAATGAGTGACAGATGATGAAACATGCCAGGCAATACCCAGTTTAGATCACAGCAAAGCATTTGTTACACTGCCACATCAGAAAACAGCAGATAAATCAAGAAGATAGGGATCAGCAGCAAGGCAATATCCATTTTTAATCTGCATTATAATGCAAGAGGGCCCTACAAATAAGAATAAATCATCCTGAAGCATCCAGCAAGGTCTCCCAAGGTTTAGTTGGATGACTGAGGTAGGTGTGAGTGAGGATGTGCATCCCACGCGCTCGCTGCATGCAGTGCCTGCCAAGGAGGGAATTCTGCTCTCCAGGCTTTGGCTCCCCAGGCTCCACTTTTCCAAAGTGCTTTAGGTATCTATAGGTGCAAACGAGGACAAAACTTAATGTCTTAAAATTCCTCAGGCTCTTCTAAAGACCATTTCAGCCTGCCTATCTCATGTCATGACTTTGAAAGGCCTGGAAGACCTTTCTCAGCTGAGAGCATAGGGAACTTAGGGAGAGCATCTTCTGCATTGACACATTTGGTGTCTCAAGTTGTTGGTGCAGACCTTCTGTCCCAGTGGCTTCAATGTTTTTTTCAGTATCATCTAACCCACTAGAAGTCCTCCTGCCCTGCCTGTGCTATACAACATACACCGGCTTTGTGAATCTGGCCATGTGTGTCCCTGACACCCTCGCTCCCTGAGGACAGCGTTGCCTGCTCCTCTGTCTGCTCTCTACATGCTGCTCCACACAAAGCCTGGCAGCACCCGGCTGACTTCATGGCTCATCTGCTACTTTTACATTAGACATTCATTTTCGTGTCGTTACACGATACAGGGGAACGGCACGGGTTGGACCTCTGCAGATCCTCTGCTGCAACCCCGCTGCTCACACAAGAGTCAGCTGGAGCAGCTTCCCCCATGCCCGCGCCCAGCCGCGTCTGCAGCACCCCCAAGGCTGGAGACACCGCAGCCCGCGCCTGGGTTTGAGCACCCTCACCCTGAGGACACGCAGCGCGTTACCGGCAGCGGCGGCGCCCGCGTTACCTCCGCGGAGGCGCGAGCA